GAACATTAGAACCTTTTTACTCCACAACACCAGTCAAATGCTTCCTTTTGTGATCTGATGAGGCTTCTTGTCACAGAATGAGGCAGAAAATATGTTCTATATGCTACTTTAAAAAGAATACATCGATTAGCAATAAATTAGGGTGACCATACGTCCTCTTTTCCCCGGACATGTCCTCTTTTTGGACCTACACAAATGCGGATTTCTTCATTGCCCAAAATGTCCGGGATTCGGCTGTTTTGTTTATCCCACTCCCACTGAATCTCTGACCATTGCCGCCTGCTCCCGCAACATGTGTTTCACTCCCTCGATTTTCGTGTCCACTCCTTTAAGCATTCTAATATTGTGTATAATTTTGGCGCATCAGGGAGCCGCTCTCAGGATGCGGTGTATTTAAATATTTTTGAACGAGCGTTTGCACCGTTTAGTTTCACTTTCGATTTCCCGATCACATGCACTCTGTGTAAAGGGAGCACATCTTACAAAGATCAGATATTTGTCAATGAGCTCAGAATCTGTTGAGCGTATACTCCAGCATGGTCTTGTCAGTCATCTCTCCTTATTCTCGGTAGCTCTTGTTGGATGCAGGGTTGCCAAGTCCGGGGTATTTCCACAGTATTGGGCTACTTTTAAACTGTTGCCATGGGTTGATTTTCCCAAGTGGGTTAAAGGTTTGAAATATTGCATAAATTACATTTGACTGAAATGCTTGTATTGAAACATTTTGCATTCTACCTATGATAAAACTTTCATGGTCTTCTACATTAACTGTTCCCTCCTGGTGGAATGACCTGCCCAGCTCAATCCAAGCAGATGAGTCCTTAATATTTTCAAGAAACGACTGAAATCACATATCTTTCATCTTCATTTGACCCTCTAACTCTAGCACTCTCTATTCTATTGCTACTTCTAATTTTATCTGCTTGTTTTTTTTAATTAAAAAACTTGACCCTCTAACATTTGCACTCTCTATTCTATTTCTATTCTAATGGCCAATCCATAATTTTTGGGGGGAATTTTTGTTTATTTATTTTTTAATAAGTATCGGTTTAGGCACTGGAACCATTTTACAAGTATCGATTTGGCACCGATATCGAAAAAAAAAAAAACGATACCCAACCCTACTGTATGGGTGTAGATTCAAACCCTAAAAGGAGTTTCATGAACTACCGAGGCACTTTCAGTTCTCTAGGACGCTGTTCTTGTGTCAAACGTACTGGAAGTACTAACTAAAAATCTTTTAACGGAGTTCACTTACCAAGAAGCTGACGAAACTGGCGCCGAAGCTCATCAGCGGACTGTGGGTCCTGCAAACAGAATAGGGAATCATGGGATACTGCACTATAACACAAGTTTAGCCTCTGAAAAAAAACAGCTTGTCTGGCCTCAGCAGTAGGGATCAGTGGATGCCAACTCATTTTTAGGGGAAGTTGCTAAATGAAGGTCAATTTGTTGCTAAAATTCGCTAAATGACACTGTTGTGATGACAATTGTCACTACTTAAAATCTCAGCAAAAAATATTTTATATAGGCCCTGTGTTGATTTCGATTTGTTTGTAAAATAATATAATGTCATATAATATTAAAATACAAATAACTGTATTTATAACATTGAATTATTGAACACTTACGCATTTTTGAACAACAACAAGGGCCTACAATTTAAGTTTGTTTTTATTAGCTAGTAAACTAGTAAAACTACACATTCTGTAGTTTTAAGCAGTGTATTAGCAGTTAGTTAGTATGCTACACTCTAAGAAAATATCTGTAAAAATGGGGCACAATCTACTATATGTTTTCCGTATTGATTTTTCACAGGTTTTTTACCTGCATTGTAAATTCCGCATTGTATTTTGTGTTTTCGGGTTACAGGGTTACAATGGCTAATGAATAATGGATAATGTCCTGGAAAATTACTAGTATCTTTTCCATTTTTCTAGATATTTTTCTTACAGTGTACTAACTGATCAACAATCGCAGGTACAAGCTACTAACAAGGTGTATCATAAATTAACAATTATTAAATTATTATTATTAAGCAATCGAGCAATTGCTAATAGCAGCTAACTTAATTCATGCGATGTGTGTACAGCTAGGCATCTTTGGTTTCCTCATTTTGTGTAATTTAGATGGAAAATGTGTGCCTTTTTATCTTTAGAGTCACTTATCAAAAGTTGCCAAATAAATTTTAGAAATGGCTACATTTGTTGCTAGGTGCTTTTGGAAGAAAAAGTTGCTAGGGTAGTGTGAAAAGTTGCTAAATTTAGCAACAAAATTGCTAAGTTGGTAACACTGGTAGGGATTTGCATTCATCATGAGTCGAATCTTTTGAATCGATTCACAAAAAGATTCGTTCATTGATTGGTTCGCTGTGCCAGTAGGTGGCGAAGCGAGTGCCGTTGAGGTACTCACGAGTCGGTTACATTTCCACCGTGGAATAAACAAAATAAAAAATAAAATAAAAAGGTCATTGCGACTTTTTATCTCACAGTTCAGTCTTTTTTCCCTCAAAATGCTGAGTTTATATCTTACAATTCTGACGTTTTTCTTACAATTTTGAGTTTACATCTCACAATTTTTTTTCTGCCACAAAAAAAAATAAATAAACAAGTTAATTACGACTTTTTATCTTAAAATTCTGTCTAAGTTTATATCACAATTCAAACTTTTCCTCTCACAATTGCGAGTTTATATCTCGCGATTCTCAAAAAAATTCTGAATTGTGAGATATAATCTTAGAATAATGAGATAAAAAGTCATAGTTACCTTCTCTATTTTTATATTGTGTAACAGAAACAGGCTTCCATAGACAAAAAAATGTCTTATAAAGTCTTATTTCTTATTAAAGTCTTATTAAAAATGGACATTTCTGTTCTGAATTTTTATAGCATAAACTTAAAGTATTATGTTAATATGCAATACAGAATCCAGCTGAAAGTTCATGAAAGTAAACAAATGATTCATTAAAAAAATTGATTTGCTTACAAAAATTAGGATACCATGTTACTTTACCACATGACAATTTAAAGTCATTTTAAAAACTGAAAACACTTTTTTTAGAGCAATTTTTAGTCCTTCTTAGTGATTTTTCGGAACTATAAATAAACATTTATATTTGTGTCTTTTAATGATTGTATTTATATTTATGTATATTTTTAATTTGTTTAATCTTTTACCTAAATTCACCCCAATTCTGTTAATCATGAGGCTTCCAATAAGTACAATAATTACATATTCACCGCATTCACGTGTATAACATGAGACAGAAAGCAGTTGCTGACAGAAAGAATTAAGGAAGAAAGCTTTCTGCATGGCCTGCATGAGGAAGTACATGTTATTCGCACATTAATGCACGTTATGAATAAATGATGAAAGTGCAGACAGACATCTCAGTCTTTATGCCCTGAACGTCCTTCTGTGGTGCACAGCACAGCACAGCACACACACCAGCTGTGTAAATACAACTATGAGCCATAAGGAGAAGCCATTCAGATGCCAAGAATGACAACTTTTAAAGCACAGATAGATTTTTATTCATTTCCATACACATTTGTACATTCAAGCTTTCTTTAACATTGATTCTAACAATTGAGGAAATGTGCTTTCATTTTGTACATTTGTGCAAGTCTATTTTTAATGTCATTTTCCAGTACAATTATACCAAAACAATCACAATTTGTATTTTGCAAACTGTTTCACTCTGAAATTAGCCTGCTGAGCTGTGCTTGATTTCTGTTTCCATTATTCCACCAGGCACTCGTCAGTATTTATAGGGCCGAATATGCTTGTCACGTCATCAGATGTGAGGATTTTGATTAAGCTGCACGTTTCGCAAACACCCCACATAAGATGCCCACATCTCCAATTCTTCGCTTTGATTCTCTGCATTAACAAAGACAGAAATGTAAATGATTATGCCTTTCATGCAAGAAAAGAAGCATTTTTGTTACATCAAAGCTGGCTTTACCTGAAATGCCACCAATGTAGATCATTTCACGCAATGGAGGATTGTAAACAGACTTTTGTCTCACTCCTGAGGTCACTTCATCCACTCTCAACTCAGTAGTTTTCCACCATATGGACACAGAAATGAATGAAACCTCACATTTCCTGAGACAATTATCATTTGTAATCTACTTCAATTTAAAAAAGCAGTAAAATAGTACCTGTCACATAGTGAAATGCATCGCAGAGGGGTCGTGTTAGGGTCAATGCGGTGCCATAGCGGCACTGTCCGTCATACGCTTTTAACACCACCTAATGAAGCATAATCCACACAGATTCCATACTGTATGTGATATTGAACATAATAATAAAATTAACACCCAGAAACAGGCCTGAAAGGTATGTAACGCAAGTATATTAAAGGTGCACTAAGTGATTTTTGAAAAACGCTTTTGGCTACATTTGTTGCTAGGTGCTTTTGGAAGAAAAAGTTGCTAGGGTAGTGTGAAAAGTTGCTAAATTTAGCAACAAAATTGCTAAGTTGGTAACACTGGTAGGGATTTGCATTCATCATGAGTCGAATCTTTTGAATCGATTCACAAAAAGATTCGTTCATTGATTGGTTCGCTGTGCCAGTAGGTGGCGAAGCGAGTGCCGTTGAGGTACTCACGAGTCGGTTACATTTCCGCCGTGGAATAAACAAAATAAAAAATAAAATAAAAAGGTCATTGCGACTTTTTATCTCACAGTTCAGTCTTTTTTCCCTCAAAATGCTGAGTTTATATCTTACAATTCTGACGTTTTTCTTACAATTTTGAGTTTACATCTCACAATTTTTTTTCTGCCACAAAAAAAAATGGAAGAAGAGAGTGCACAGGACGGATATTAGCAGATCGACTATAGATAGCGAAAGATGGCAGATAAAAAATAGGACAAATTTCGGAGGAACAAAACATTAAAAAGAAGGGTTACGATCAGGCAAGATGTAGGACCCACGTAAATATTAGAGCAGCTTTCCAGCGGTAGACAGAACTCAAGGAGCGGGAAGGCCTGGAATCGGACGCCGAGGTTGTTTTGTTTCTTCTTGATAGGTGAGTTACGTTGATTTAGCTTTTTCACACAACTTTTCTGTGTTGGCTTTTGCTTGAATATGCTGTGGCTGGCAGGCATAGCAGATTCTAACATCGTCGCTGCCAGGGTTGTGTACGTACATGTGGGGCGGAGTTATCAAAATAGGGGAGGTCCTGTTGGTGTATGGGCATGTTTGTTTTGGTGCTTTCATATATCAACATCGTTTGGCAAAACATCGCTTAGTGCACCTTTAAAGAGGTCATATGATGTTGCTAAAAAGAACATTATTATGTGTATTTGGTGTAATGAAATGTGTTTATGCGGTTTAAGGTTAAAAAACACATTATTTTCCACATACTGTCCATTATTGTTTCTCCTCTAT